AGGAGATGGTGGGGGGGAATCCTCAAAACCAGGAAGGGGGGGACTTGGACAGAGAAGACCTCGACGCGTAGTACTGCGACATCATATCTACACAACTCGTCGGCAAAAATTTCACCTCGCAGCAAGTCTACATTATTGGCCAGCGATTCAAACAAACGTTCGTCGGTTATTTCTGTAGCGCGTCATAGATCAGCGACGAGTTCGAGGGCCCGGGGGGGGGGCGTGAACTCCGCTGGGCGCCCATTGCTAGTGTTTGGGGTGGGGTGGGGTGGGGCGGGGTGGTGGTGGCGTGCGTGTGTGCGTGTGTGTGTGTGTGTGTGTGTGCGTGTGTGTGTGTGTGTGTGGTGGGGGGGGGGGGGCGAGCGCGGCCAGCCTCCATTTCCCCATGCAGCGCAGCCAAGACCTGTGTATTAGCCGCGGGATCCTTGGCCCAGCTTTGATAGTTTCAAGCGTCTGACAACACTCATTGTACAACGCGGGGCAAGCCGCGGCCGCGTCATCGCTTGGCGGTTCGCGAGTCCGACGGGGCGGCCCCCGTCCCGGTCCGCAGCTGTTCCTCTCATGGCCACTCTGCAGCACCACGTGAGCTATCTGCCGAGCCTCGCAGCCTCTTGCTGCGACGACGAAACTCCCGAGCCCGCTCAAGAGCGCGCCCGCGACAACACAGGGGAGGAGGCATCGCTTAGACTGGAGGAGGAGTGGCATGGGCCATATTGCGCCTAGTGGGTGGAAAGAAGTGCGCGCCGCCTGAATATGCCGAGCTACCTCGCGCGTCGACGTGCTACGCTGGACCACATGAGGGCCCGAATGTCTGACTGAGTCAAGGACCCGACCGTTTAAACATATTCCTCGGGATACCTGAGAAGTTGTTCAAATGTCGCGCTACCCGCCCCCTGGAAATGACGCGATGATTTTTGTCTGCTAGCGTGTCTGCAGGTGCCCGCGCTGCTCGAGCTGCCCATCTAAACGCGCGCCCGATGCAAGGACCTTTTTTTCATCAGCCCCGTAAAAGTTCAACCAGGGGAGGCAAGGAGAAGTTTTCGAAGATCATCTGCATATTCGCTCATACTCGAATCAGCTCTACAGGGGCCCCGCAGCGAAGCGAGGACTCGCCCGTGGGATCGCCCTCCCACCGCCAATAGCGCCGCCTCAGAACTGGCGGCTTGGAAACCTCAATGTTGGCTGCAATGAGGGCCCCCCAACGCGCCCCCCTCGCAGGGCTCGAATGCCAGTGGGCGGTCCGAAGATTATAGGAACATGACTCCCTGCCTATGCCGCTGACGACGCAGTTCGCGGCCCTCCTCTCTCGAGCCCACGTCGACGGCCGCGCCCGCGCATTGCCAGTCCGAGCTGACGCACGCGTTCGCGAGGCCATCTGGCCCCATGCTCGAGTTTCTACGATTCGCCGCGCCATCGCTGGCGCGCCAAGAGAATAAAGTTATAGCACATTGCCTCATGTCCCAGGGGCCGAGCTCAAGCAAAAACACACGTTTCACATCGCGGCATTCTCCCTGGTGGGTCCGCGCCCCCCCGGAGCTTCAGCGCACTATTGAAGACGAGACGCGCGTCTTAGATGCACGGCGTGCGCGTCGACGCGCACGCCGTACATCTAACGGGGCTGCCCCCCGGCGGAACTTGGTTCCGTCTAGGGGCTCGCCTGATGCATCGCTTCATTCCTTGGAAATCACCCTCGACAAGTTCCTGAACGTCGGCATTTCGCTCGAAAGGGCAGTCTCAGATTTCCCGCTCGGATCTCCAATCCTCAAAATCAAATTCAGAGGCGCCCATCCCGCCCCCCCGCCCACCCCGGGGAAGACGGCGGGGCTGCGCATCCCAGCCGGCCATCGCATCGCTTCGGTCCGTGCCGACAGCGCGCCGCGGCCCGCGCAGTCCTCGCGGCCTCGGCCGGGCGCCCGCGCCCCCGCGCCCCCCGCGCCTCGGCCAAGAGGCCCGCTTTTCGACCCCCGGCCTGCGTTCGCCGCCCCCGAAAAAGCGCGCGGCTGAGATCCGCCAGCTCGGCCCCAATATGTTCGACTTCCTCGTGCGAACATCCGGGTCGAGATGCCTCGTAAGGCATTTGTTTGCAGCGCCCCACGTCTGGTCGCACATTGCCGACACTCATCCGCGGCAACAACTGGTTTGCAACGGGCTTGCCCATTGACGAAGCTCCAAGGTCTCGAATATCTGATATGATGCTGCGTGCTCTTCTAGCCACAAGAGTAGACTAGTTGGAGATCGCCCTTCACGGCCGTCAAGAATTGCCCGCCCCCCCCTGGCCACGCCGCCTCCATGATCTGATCTCGCAGCCAGAATTCCCCATTGCTCCGTGCATGAACCTGCTCGACAGAGCGTTTGCTATGCGTCAGGCAACAGCGGGGGCGGCAGGTGATCTTTTTTTGGTGGTGGGGAAGCCCATGAAATCTTGCAGCTTGGCCCCTAGCTCGGGTGAAAAACCAGTGGGGGCCACGGCATATCGCATATGTCTCGGAATGAATAAGTAATCGATCCCACTCGAGCTCTTGGGTCAGAAATATGCGCGCTCTAAAGTCGACTAGGCGTTGCGTGCCAGCACGCGGTGCTGCACCATAATCTTACGCATGGACGCCCCCGCTCCACCCAGAAACCGCTCCACCGTCCGAACCCCCACCCCCCCCGTCATCGGCATCTTGTCACCGCTTCTGATCATTCAGATGGCGGCCTTATCCGTCGTTCAAACCCGCATAAACTACAAGGGTCGCGCGCATGGGCAATGACGATGACAAGAAAATGAAGCCAACCTATCACGCGTTTCACAACACCAGAATGCTCTCCTCTCTGACCCGCTCTGTCTGGCTGAAGGGGGAAATACATAGCAACGGGGGTCACATCGAGGTGCTCTCTCTTGGCACGGATTCGGAGACAACGTCCTGATGCCCCGGTGGGAGGAGGCCACATCTGTTTGATGCACGTGCGGTTTAAACCTGTTTCTAAGATGATGATCGCCCCACGCCTGCGATTACTAAATGGCGACTCGCGTGCCTCCCATGGGGCCTCAACCACCGTTTCTCAATTCACTCTACGGTTCAGGAGGGTATGTTCCGACGCCGAATATTCCTTTTGCCGCGTCCATGCTAGAAAACTGAATACGAAATTGCTACATTCTTTTCGGCAAAATCGGAGAATCTGCCCCCGCCAGCCGACTCCGGGTTGTACACAAAGATGTGCAAACGGGCGGAGGCCAGGCTCATGTAGAAGCCGTCGATCTTGAAGTCCTGCCAGCTAGCCTGCTGTCCTCACTCCATCGCACGCGGCGGAATGACCCCTCGCGGAGGGGTTGCGCGAAAGAGAGATAAGCACCTTTCTCTCAACCTCTCGATCATGGAGGCTTTCCAGGCCTGGCTCCCCCTCCACCTCCTCCTCCTCCTCATCATCATCATCGTCATCATCGTCATCATCATCATCGTCATCATCATCGTCTTCCTCATCATCATCATCATCATCATCATCATCATCATCATCACCACCATCAACATCAACATCATCACCACCATCACCACCATCATCATCATCACCATCATCACCATCATCATAATCATAACATCATCATCATCCTTTTCCTCCTCCTCCTCCTGCGGCGCAGTGCTGCAACTCGCCATTGCTCGCAAGTTCGTCTCCCGTGCATTCTTCGGTTTCGAGCGTGCATTGTTTCGCAAGCTGGTCCAGGATGCTCCTCGATGGTCCACGCCGGGACAGAGTGTACACGACCGAGCGATGCCAGGGCAAGGAGGGCTGCAAGCAGCGGCGGGAGAGGGCATGCGAGCTGGTCCTGGTGATGGCGGCGGAGAGGGCCGAGGACGGCGGCGGGGTCAGCGCGAGGGGACGAGGAGGATGGCCACCGCCCCGCGGGCCCGCCAGCGCCGCCGCCGCCAGATGGAGCCGCCCCATGCACGAGGCACACCGTCCGTGGCAGTCTGGCGACGCGGTGTTCTGCAGCTTGTGCGGCGCCTTCGCGTTCGGCGTCAGGATGTCAGGGTTTGTCGCGGTCTTCTCAGGAGGGCCGCGTGGCGAGCGAGCTGAGGTGGTGAGGGATCGCCTGAATCGGGGTGAGCACCCGACGAAGAGTGGAGACCTCAGCGCGCCCAGGCCCTTGGCGCGTGCGGGGGTTGGAAGGGCGCAGGCGCAGCCGATCGCATGCGCGGCGGCCGTGATTGAACACAATTTGCTGTTTTTCTTTCTCTCTCTCTCTCGCTCTTCTTTTCGAGACGTGGCATCTTTGAATAGGGGGGGGGCGTCTGGCTTCCCCTTGAGTGTGCATTGCCCGCGGGAGGCAAGGTCCCTTCCGTGCCTTCCCATCGGCCCAGGGACGAGGTAGTGCAGTGCCTGGGTCGTGACTGGAGGCGCGGATCCCAATCTCGATGTGGGCGCGAGGGTAGCCGCGCTTCGCTTGGGGCCCGCGTTTTCGTCCGTCCCTGTCTGGGGAACGCTGTTCAGAGAAAGGAAAGGGTGTTGGTTCTCGCTCCTCGCACTTTACACACACGGAATATCAGCAACAGCATCATCATCAGCAGCATCATCAGCAACATCATCAGCAGCATCATCAACATGATCATCAGCATCAGCATCGTCGTCGTTGCTCTCATCATCGTCATCATCATCACCATCACCATTATACTCATCAACAACATCATCGTCATCACCGTCATATCAACAACTACCTCATCGTCCGTCCCTCTTCCTGTGGACAACTCCTCCCCGTAGAACTGTAGCACCACCAGGCTGACCAGCTGACGTGTCGTTCGGGCTGGCCGGGCGTTCCGCCTGAGACATCCTGTCAGTGTCCGACCTCGAAGCGTGAAACTTACAACTGACTTCTGCTCTGGGTTCTGATTCAATTGAAACTTCCAACTGGAAATTCCAACTGAAATCTCCAATTGTTACATCTGTTCTTCGGTAGACCTCTGCGAACTGCTGGCGGCCGTGCTGCACTCTGGCGGGAGGGGAGGCGGGGCGGGGCGGCGCGCCCAGCTTGCCCAGCCCTCTTGCCCCTGCGGCTGGCTGTGATCTCCTGGCTTGCTCAAACGGGACGGCGGCTTCCCGCGGCAGAGAGGCGCTCAACGTGGGTTGCTGTCGTAGCCGTCGGCCGCGTCGTCCTCCTCGTCGTCGTCCGCCTCCTCCTCCTTCTCCTCTTTGAGTCCCTGCACAGGCTCTGACTGTTTGCGTTAGAAGGTTGGGACTCGGCAGGTGGAACACGCCAGACTCTTGGTGCTGCCAGAACTCCCCTCCCTGAACCTTACCATCCCCTATAGATGGCAGGGTCTTCCGCTGCCAGAACTACACTGTGATGGTTGATTCTGAAGTTGTGCCTGCAACCCTCTTAAAGCCGACCAGATCCTCGTGCTGCCAGCTCCCAAGCCACACTTTGATCATCTAGGTACAACCCTGACAACATGTCGCAACATGATGTTGTCAGACCTCCATTCCCGGGGCTGACTATGACAATCCAGGTGCTCTCCCTAACTAATAACACATAGCAGCATCGTGTTGCCAGATTCCCGCCTGGGAGCCTGCTGCTCATCCAAATGCAACTTTTGCAGCCAGCGGGTTCTTCGACAACTGGCTAAATATCTGGAGCCAACGGTTCCAAAGGGCTAACTCAGAGTTCCATTCAAAGGACTGGCTTTTTTTCCGGCAGTAGAAGAGAAGCGGAGCGCGCGACCGCTGAACCTCACCACGGCGTCACTAGCACTGTAGCGTGAAACAGACGACCGCCAGTCAACGAAGATCGCTACACGAGCCAAACTGCCATAGGCAAGCTCATGCGATGAATGGTGTCCCGAGAGACAAGAACTGCGATATGAATGTAACACGAACCTATTTTTTCAATTTCCCTGATAGCGGCCGTCACCGGCACCGCGCCCCCACCCCCGGAGGTGACGTCACGTTCCGCGCCGGCGGCACCTAAGAAGGCCTCTGGGAACATGACCTTACGCGAGAAAAGGACTCGGACGGCCCGTCGGGAGTGAAGGAGTCCAGCATCAGGTGGGATGCGCGCCTCGGGGAGCATGTCGATGTATGAGGAGCTCGGAATGGGCCTTCGGGAGGCTCGTTGAAGTTCCCTGTGTGCCTGTGAGTCTCTTGGGGTCTCTCGGCGGGGCGTTCCGAGGAGTGTCGTAATGATCATGATCAGCATCAACATCATCATCATCATCATCATCATCATCATCATCATCATCATCATCAGCAGCAGCAGCAGCAGCAGCAGCAGCAACAGCATCAGCATCATCAGCATCGTCATCATCAGCACCATCAGTATCATTAACATCATCAGCATCAACATCATTCTCATCATCGGCATCACCATTGTCATTATGCCATTAGCATCGTCATCACCACCATCATCGTCATCATCATCTACAACATCATCATCATCATCATCATCATCATCATCATCATCATCATCATCATCATCATCACCATCACCATCACCACCATCATCATCATCATCATCATCATCATCATCATCATCATCATCATCATCGCCATCATCAACGTCAACATCACTGTCACCATCACCACCTGCATGCTCAAACTATCAATCAAACCATCGCCATGATGACCATCATAATTACCGTGGTCGTCGTGCTGTTGGCCTGTTCCTGGAGAAGCCTCTGAGAACATCAGGCCGACTGCGTGGGGGGGCTCGGACGGGCCGTCGGGAGTGAAAGATGTTGGCCTCCCGTGGGCCTCGTGGAAGCGCATTGGTAGCCTTTTGAGGGCGTGGTGGGGCCGTCTTGTAGCCATCTGGAATTGCCTGGGGCCGTCTGGACGCCATCTGGAGCCGTCCTGGCGGGCTCGCCGTAGTGATTCCATCTTCGGCTAGCTCGGAGCCATCTTGAAGGGTCTGGGGGGCCCCAGCCGCCTGTCGTGTGGGCCTCTCTGTGGCACCTCTAGGGCCGTTGTTGGATCATCCTCAGGCCTCAGAGCCATCTCGGAAACGAACAGGTGAGACCTTCAAACACCGATGGTTTCCCTCAGGGTTTTGAATGATGTTGGCCTCCTGGGGGTCTCTTGGAAGCCTCCAAGGTCCGTCTGGGACCATCTTGAACTGTCTGGGGCCGTCTGGAAGCTAACTGGGACCGTATTGGCGGGCTCGGGGGCGATCTCGAAACCAATCATCCGCTGTCTCGGAGACATCCTGCAGGCTCTCGGGGGCCCCAGCCGACCGTTTTGGGGTGCTTTGGGGATGATTGGGCCGAAAGGGGGTTGGTGAAGGGGGCCTGTTCAAAAGGCTCTTGTGGTTGCCGAGTTGGCCTGTTGGGGACTTCTTGTGGGTTCCTGGGGGGTTCTTGGGAGCCTCTTGGGGAATCCTGGGGGCGGTTCGTGGGCCTCGGGGAAGCTCTTCGGGCCATTTTGGGACGGAAGCTCGGCATCTCCGTTCGGGGTTTCCCTTCAGCCCCTCTCTCGGTGCCATGTTAGTGAGCTATTCGGGCGGTTTGGGCGCCTCGGTGGACGCTATCGCGCAATCTTGGGCCGTTCTGGGACCCTCTTGGGGGCCTCATGGGCCAACTTGGGGCGAACTGGGAGGCTTCATGTAAAACGGAAACACCAGAGAAACACACGAAGCTCCTTGATGTTGTTGATTAGACGATGCAGAAAATTGTGGCGTTCCCTTTGTCCGTCAGTTCCGCGCGAACGGGTGGGCGGAGGCGGACCCCTGCTCCGACCGCGCCGCGCTGGCCCGCTCTATAGAGGCCTCCCCGATGGGGTCCGAGTAGATGGGGTCGGGGGATCGCGCCGCATCCTCGATGCATCGCTGATGCATCGACGATGCATCGGCGATGCATCAGCGATGCATCGGCGACGTCGGCGGTGCATCGGCGACGTCAGCGTGGAGAAAATCAGGTTCCGCATCGAGCCGCCTTGCCGAGGCATCGGCCATGCGGCGTTGTCCTCCGACCCCATCTGCTCGGACCCCATCTGGGAGGCCTAGGCCCTTCCCCCTAGAATCATCGCTTGCTGAATCAAGTGCAGTCGAATCAAAGATCGGGGAAATCATAATCCGAAACTGCATCCTGTTATATAAGACTGTGTCTCAAACTGCGCATTTTGAAACTCCAACGTGAGAGCACACGGAATTCGAAGTCCCACGGGGCGGGATGATTTGCCCATGTTACTGCAAAATGCTCGCACTCCCAAGTGCCACGAGGCCACCCATAAGGCGACACATAAGGCGACACATCACCAACATCGTCGTCATGATCATCGCTCTTTGTCGTTGCATCGTAATCAGAACCGCGCATCATTCGCCAGAATTGAGCTTGCGCCCGCGCGTCGGCCTTCTAGCATCCCCGTGGCCGCACTCCAGCCTAGAAGCGCCACAAGGCCGCGCCGGCTAAACAAGGCGTCGCCTGCCACGGTGGATTAACGAAGGCTGGAAGCTCGCACCGCGGTGCCTACATACCAGAGGGCCACCCACGATGGCGACGCATCATCATCAGCAACAAAATCATAATCGTCACCGCCAACACCATCACCATCACCATCACCACCATCACCACCACCACCATCGTCACCATCATCGTCACCATCATCATCATCATCATCATCATCATCATCATCATCATCATCATCATCATCATCATCATCATCATCGTCATCGTCATCGTCATCGTCATCGTCATCATCATCACCATCCTCGTTATCGTTTCCTGTCGTCTCATCGCATTCAACGCCGCGCATCATCCGCCATGATTGCACTAACGCCCGCGCATCGATCGTCAACTTGCACCGCCATGGCCACAAATTACGGTCCAGAAACACCGCCATGCCGAGCCGAATAAACAAGGCGTCGCCTGCCACGCTGGATTAACAAGGGCTGGATGTTCGCCGCGCGGTGCCTGTATACCAGGAGGGCCCACCCACGATGGCGACGCATTATTGTCAGCACCGCATCGCACTCAAAGCCGCGCACCCTTCGACATGGTTGCACTCGCGTCCGTGCACCAACTCTCAAAGTGCACCCCGATGGCCGCAACTTCCAGCCCAGAAGCACCGCCCTGCCGCGCCAAAGACACCAGATTTCGCCTGCCACGCCGGATCGAAAAGCGCTGGATGCTCGCCGCGCGTTACCCAAATATGCTACGCCGTTGCAAAGATGAGTGACGTGTTTCCGACGGTTTCGGGGACGTCAAGCCGAATGGAGGCGTCACGAGCTTCACTGGGCGCCAGGGGAATAGAGGCTTCAGGCTGAATAGAGGCGTCAAGGGCTTCACGAGGCGTCAGGGGAATAGAGGCTTCAGGCCGAATAGAGGCTTCACGAGCTTGAATGGGCGTCAGGGGAATAGAGGCTTCGTCCGTTACGTCCGCGCGAGCGGGCGGGCGGAGGCTGACCCTGTTCCGACCGCGCCGAGCGGGCCCCCTTTCCCCCCTAGAGCCCTAATGCGTTGAGTCAAGAACGCTTGGATCGAACATCTGGGGTTCCCGGCTCCGGGATGTCATTCTTCGGTGTGGTATTATCAGAGTGAAGGGGGCCGAACGGTCGTTCATTGTCCCTGGGTGCGTGGCTGAATGAAGAATTAGTGGAGGGAAATCTGTTTGCTGCGTTGTTGTTGTTGCTGTTGTTGTTGTTTGTTGTCGTCGTCCCACCCGCGACCCACCCGCGATCCACCCGCGACCCACCCCGCGATCCCACCCGCGACTCACCCCGCGACCCACCGGCGACCCAACCCGCGACCCACCCGCGACCCACTCCGCGACCCACCCGCGACCCACCCGTGACCCACCCGCGACCCACCCCGCGACCCATCCGCGACCCACTCCGCGACCCATCCGTGACCCATCAACGACCCACCCGCGACCCAGCCCGCGACCCACCCTCAATGGAGGAAAAACCACCCAGACCCGACAATTGACGCTTACTAAAACGGCCCTGGGCGTTGACTAAACAGCCCTGCCCTGTTTGATTCATTCCTTGGATGCGTTTACTAAACGGCTTCGCTTGTCGGGGTGATTATTATGGGGTGGATTTTCTGCCCTCTACACCCGCGACCCACCCGCGACCCATTT